GTTAACCCTACTGCGTTCTTCGTTTTGACTGTACACTTAAGACTTTTGGGTCAAAAAGGACCCAAGACCCTATGTGTAATAATTTTTGTTTCCAACGCGACATATGAGCCTAGACAATAAACGTTTGAAATAATGTTAAGGAACGTTAACTTGATAACAGCAAAAATTACTAACAATATAAAAAGGCGGTGGGTCAAAAAAGACCCGAAGACCGCTCTAGGGTTAATCACGTTGCCCAACTGGTTAAGTTCTAATGATATCTTTTTTCTTTTTTTTTTTCAATTTCCAGTTCATTACTATTTTATACATTTTACCAATTTCCCTTATCTAATTAATATCGCATATTTTTGAAATAAAAATAAGACGAATATATACGCATAATTTCCCTTACATCTGCTGGCAAGTTTTCTCGCGTGCAATTAGCCGTAGTCAAGATTAACATATGCACCGATTGATCTAAGCCCTGCATCAGCGATGTAAAAACGATGCGTGCTGCCTCATCTACTAAATCCCACCACGCTAAGATGTCAGGAATGTAGAGCAATGACGGTAAACTCCGTCGAGCCGTCTTCATCTTCTGCCATTTAATCGAAATGCAATCACGCAACGGGAATGATAAATATGAATTCAACGTTAACACTAGGTTTTGCGGACATTTCTTATGTACAGTTGGGTGATCGAATTGTTAGAGCCACCTGGAAGAAATTCACCGGTTTTACGTTGTGTTGGATAACCAACCCCCTATCGACATTAAGTCACCAAGTCACTCTTAAGATGAGCCCCACAACGCCGAAAAACAAGTTACTCATCGATCGCTGACTGTCCCTTCAAAGTCCTGTCCAACAATTCGTCACCAGAACCAAGTTCACCTTCTCCCTCAAATCCCTTCCTTATATGTATAGTTAAGAGCGGTCGATCTAGTACACAGCAGCAAAAACAGAACGTCTCTTCTCTTCGTGAAGTTCGCGTCTTGTAAATTCGGAATCCGCGAGTACAAGTGTCACCGTTGAAATAAAAGTTATATTGGTAAAATATAATCGGTGTCGACTTTCCTCCCCGGATTCCAACAGTTGTAACGATTAATTTTCAGATGAAAACCTAGTTACACCGAATTCTTACTATTCTTTTTATGAATCGTTGACGCTTACAAATTGCATATGGTCATATGGACGTTATTTTGTGTCGGTACTGCAGATCGCCACTTGAGAACCACGTGTTACAGTTTTGTTTGTTTATAGATCTCGAGCATTTGAATTTTTGTCGAAGTGTTTTTGCTACTTATAACGCACGGTAAATTACTTGTAATGTATGGAAAAAGGAATCGAGGCTGTTATTGCAGCGAAAGGTAGCGCTACCAAATACCGACTTTATCGTCATTTCTTAACTGTACTTTTTATAACTACATAACCTAAGTTTAACCGTTTTGTGTATCTTCAGTGAGCAATCGTTAATTGAAAATTATCTGGTACGAAAACCTTGATATTGCGATTTTATTTCTACACAAAAGCAAAAACATATTTTTTGTGTGGTAGCCCTAACAATTTGATCACACGCTGAACCTATCCCTAAGTTATTTACGTTAATAATATTGTTACATTAACCCCTTCGCATCCGCGAACTGATTTTTATCCAAATCTTTCGACGAGATATCTCGCGTTCGTATGAACGACGTTAGGTCGCGAGATATCTCGTCTAAAAAATCACACGAACGACATCAGGTCGCGAGATACCTCGTCCATAGACGCGAAAGGGGTTAATAAATAACATCGAGTGAAAAATTCAAAAATAATGGTAAAATAAACGATATTAACCCCTTGACGTATGATTTCCTTTCTTGCCTGTGCATCTAAGGGTCAGTTATTTACTATTTTAGCACAATATTAAGTAAGAAAACTTTGCAGCCTTCAGTTTAATAAATGAAATCGAAAATTGGAATTAAAATTAATTTTTCTTACCGATATGACTGTTTTTATCAGATCCTGACCAAAATCTGTGGCTCGAATCTGACTCGTTATTATACGGCAAGGGGTTAAACACATTGTACAGGGGCTACCTTGCGTTTTTCTATCTTTTCTTTATTTTTGGCGATTTGACGACAAGTCGGAAAAGGATTTTAAAAAATCGCTCTAATTACTCGATATATTGTGAATTTTCATTTTGGTCTTTATTACGATTTCTCACGATAAAAGGGAATAATTTTATATAAATACTTTAGAGATCTCGTTTCGACGGATGATACGTTGAAAACGTACTAGTACGTCTCCCGCGTACAATGTGTTTTAAAAAGATGTTACGAAAGGTAATTTTTTAAAACTGCCACAGTATCGGCCATTTAATCGATACCGTTTCAGCGTCGATAATTCGTCGTTCTTTGTTACTTGAATAATAGCTTCTTCCGCGGCTCTTCCGGTTTCCTCGAACAAAGTCATAATATCCAACACGTGGCAGGGTAAATGTTCTAACGTGTGAAGCAACGCTGGCCCCAAATGACGAGTGTGGGAGTCATCGTCGCCGCACAGTAAAATCCTAGGACAACTGTTTGACCTGGATACAGCCCTGCCAGAGCTATCAAAAGGATCCCCTCAACTTTTTCATAATACCACGGTGATTAATGACTCGAAGTTAATCGTACTTTTACTTTGAAAATGAAACCTCTCGGATTAACTTGGATTAGAAAGCATTTTCATCGGGTCGTTAAATCGTAAAAATGGTCGAAAGTCGTAAAATCGTAAGAAACTACAGTAGTGCACACATAAGCGTCCGTCGCTATCCCCACCAATTCTTGGAAATGGGACTTCGGAGTGGAGTTCGACTCTTGAATGTGAACAACTGACACTTGGTATATCGGTATCCCACTCAGACACATCTCCTCTCTTTCGTTCAGTTAAACTCGCAGAAGTCACCTCCCCACTTAAGCGTCCGCGTTCGCTCCCGACTGCGGACGCTTATGTGTGCACTACTGTACATTGACCAGGAGTATCATACCTACAAAGAACCCCGATTCTTCCTGGTTCTAATTTTTTTCTTTTTATTTACATTTTTCTCAAAATAAAGAAAATTGTAAGAATTCACAGTTAAATTCAGTGAAAAATCAAATTTATAGATTTAAGACTTTCACGGCCCGGAACGTAACTATTATTATTATTGAGGCTTTAGGATGTAAGTCGGGACTTTGTGAAAAGAGTATAGGATACCGATAACAATAAAATATACGAACTCGTGCTATGTTGGGAAGAATTGTTAAAAAATTGCACAATAAATATTTTCGGGTGGAAAATATGTAAGATTGTTAATCTAGTAATTGTTGAAATGACTCACATCACGTCGCAAATCAACATTCCCATCGGACAAAGAATCTCGAGCTGCGATAGAATGCATGACAAATTTTCCTGCATCAGAGGTTGAACCTTAAATGACAAAGACTTCACAGGCGCGACAGATACTCGATGGGACGCTGGCATAATGTTCTGTTGGGCCTTCACGAAATCCTGTTTCTCGACCTATTGCATTATTAGTTACAGTTTTTTACAATAACTTCTTTGAAGCTGTATTTGAAAAATAATTAAATATGTAAACTAAAATAATTGTCATTCAAGCAACGTGACATTGTACTGACTGTTACGGATAAAATAGAGACGTAAGAATTGTGAGAACAAAAGATTAGGTACGTCAAGTAAAAATATCGGAAATATTATTAACCCTTTCCACTCCAATGGCGAGCTTATGGCGACACGCCTAACTGTTTTGAAGAACATTAAAATGTAAAATTCAAGTTTTTTATGTCACTGAAATAATGTAAACTGACCTAAGAAATAGAGATAAATAAATTCATAAACATTAACAATTCTTTTTCTTCCTTTTTCTTTTTCAAAACAAAACTTTCACTGCAAAAGTATACCGGAGTTGCTGATTAATCTTATCAAAGAATGCTGGGAGTACAAAGGGTTAAACCTATATACTTTTACATGTAACATTCGTACATTGCAAAATATTTTTCGTATTTTTCCACATAGTAAAATATTTCACATTTTCCAACGCTCGCATTCCGCGTTTTATTATTTGATTAAATGTTATAGCATTTAAAAGTAGGAACCACTTTGATGGCCGGATTAAATATGTCGCTACGGGCAAATAAACTAGCTGTTTCGTGATAGACGTAGCATGGTAAGCGTATGCTAATAAGAATGTCCAGATCTAAGTTTCCGAAGGACTGACTTAAACGTTTCTCAATCTTTCTATCTCTGCGATACCCTTCAATCAAAACTAGGACAGCCCTTTCTGCAATACGATCTTAAAAAATGAACAAACCTCGTTGAAAATTCCTTCGACAAAAATGCAACTTAATTCTGAGTTAACATTTCTCTGAAAATTAACCAGTTCTTTTAAATTAACACACACACACACACACACACTCGAAGATCAATTACTCCTAAATTAATGGTGCTTGTAAGAAAGATTCTCCATTTTTATGTGCAATAATTTTGCAAAGATTAAATTTCACGAAAATTAATTAACTTTAAATGAAACTTCTCTTCTCGACCTAAATCTCCAAGAATCTTATTTCAATTACTTTAAGATGCCGCTCGTTGATCTGATATTTCGCCTTGGACGTATATATCTCCGGATAATTCCTTCGAACGCAGCACATGACCGCCTCGGCGCAGAGAGCTTGCAAATCGCTTCCGCAAAATCCAATCGTCTTCGAGGCCAAATAAGCGAAAAATTTCAGCGGTGGTTTCTGCTTCCAAGTTTTTACGTGAACCTATATATAGATATGTATACAGCATGATCACATTTTCACGTTCACGTGTTTTTCTTTTTAAACGATACGAAAGAAGATATTTCTTCTTTTCTTTTTTTTTTTCATAGTTCAAGGTACCGAGAGTATTTCTTTTCGCGCAACATAGCATGGCAACGGGAAGTACAACTCTCTGTCGAATCGGCCGGGTCTTCTTAAAGCTGGATCTATAGCATCGATTCTGTTCGTTGCTCCAATTACTATGATCTCTGAATTGTTCTCTAAGCCGTCCATCAAGGCCAAGAGAGTGGAGACAATACTGGCGTGCACGAAGTCTTGCCGGCTGGATCTTACTGGCGCCAACCCGTCAACTTCGTCGAAAAAGATTATACAAGGCTTCGATTGTTGCGCCTAACGACGTGAAACGAATATTTTCCAATTTTAGAATTTGCGTTTCGCGATATCTAATTAACGTATAACAGGAGTGTAACGTTGAGGAAATACGTGAAAACATGTGTAAATGATACAGCTTTGAAGGATGAACAAAATTTCTACGAGAAAGAAATATTTCGATCAATAACGAAAATAATAGAGGTAGTCAGGTTACGAGGTTCACCCTGTGTGCTTCTTAGCTACGTGCTTTATTAACCCTCGAACGGCAAAATACTTTGTATATTTTTCTTCACTCTTTATCATTATATAGAACATGTATTTAGGCTCCTATTTTTCTAAATAGAATAATTTTCGAAAATCGTTTTACCGTTGATTTTTTGAAGAATAAAAAAAAAGGTTGAGGAAAGAATGTTTAGTAGAGTACTAATACTCTGGGTCAAGATTGACCCGACGTCCGGTGTGCAAGTGAGTGTTGCACAGTCCGCTCTGTCCGAGGGTTAAGATAGCCGAAAAATGGACATGTTTCAACAATTTTGTTTTTTCTTCTAACGAAATATTACAGAAAATTCAACAGTAATTTCGCGATCATTTCGATAATTTTCGTAATGAAAACGAACGAGTTATATTAACCAGGGAAAAAATCTTCTGAAGTTTCTTCTCGCTTTCGCCCACCCATTTGCTAAGGCAGTCGGAACCTTTGCGAGATATGAAGGAAACCTTCCGTTCAGAGTTGCTGCACTCTACGGCCAAAGCACTGGCCACTAGTGTCTTCCCTGTGCCTGCGATATCAGAGAATCGTCAATCGGGAATCTTGTTTCCAACATGGTCCCGCTTCATTACGAACCGTAGAACGCTTTATTTTACCAGGAGGCCCATAAAAGAGCAAACCCCTCGGTGGTTTCAGGTTGAACTTTGCGTAAATATCACCATACATCAGCGGAAACAGAACCGTCTCCTTTACCACACGGATGTGCTTCTCCAATCCTCCGATGCAAGAGAAATCCTTCACGCCAGACATCTTTCGCGATCAAGCTTTTATATCGCATACCCGGGCAAACGTATTTATTCTCTCTCACTTAGCCAGCTTGATTTTCTACACTTCCTCTCCTGAAATTTCCGACCAGCGAGATGACGACCCGCTTCGATTACTTGCATCGTCGATTGTACATATGCATCCTGTGTGTTTCTATAGGAATTTTACTGGAATTTTTATACGATGTGTGTGTTTGGTGATGATTGTCGAGAGTCAAGTCGATTCACGATGTAATTTCATTATTTTTTTTAGACGTTTTGTCGATACGATCTTAGTGAAACATGCGAATAGTTGCAGTTCACTTCGAAGCAATGTTCACGTTGGTTCTAATTGTTAGTATACAATGGTGTACAGTTAAATGTCGCTGGGTCGCAAAACTAGACTGACGTTTCATTTTATTCGAGATATTTAATGGTTCTAGGTGGTAATCTATTAGGTTATTTTCCCCATTAGTAATGTTCGTTTTAGAAAGCTCAGTTTCAATATAAGAATAGTAGTATTTACACTTATATACTGTTAATCGATGATACATTTGACCATTTGACATTTTTCAAGACAACTGTTTGAGTCGATTAAGCGTGATAGGAGGAAAGAGATAGATAGGATAGGCGGAAAAATGGAAAGATTGTGCGCGCCCCGGGTTTCTTGGGACCATCCACAAGTGGACTCTCGTCATCAAAGAATAAGGCTGCGTGCGATTCCCGTACTTTAGAGACGGGGGAAGACGGACCGATAGATTCTGCTCGGAAGTTGTATATATAGAAACGGGAGCCTTTTGCGAGGACTCGCGAGAACTGGTGGTTACTCCGTCCCTCTGGTGGCAGAACACAGGAGGTACCGCCGCGTGTTTAATCCTTTTTAAAAAAGATTCTTATCTTTCCGATTAAAAAAGTGATCTAAAGTTAACTTTAAGTGATGTGTATTTTTGAAGTTTCTGCCATTTAAAACAATTTTCTAACGAACGAAACGGATGTTAATCCAATGGTATTAATTTCCAGTTCAGTTGTTTAACTTTTTCCATTATCTATTTTTGTCAAATTTACCAATCGTGCCTCTACAGATTGTTAACGAAACCTGGGGCAAAATAAATAGAAAGAAAAATGTTTCTTCTCGACCCAAGATATCGAACCAAGATAAAAAGCGACATTACTTATGAGATGACCTGATAAAATAAGTTTCGCAGGAATGAGAAAAGTGATACATATTGTTACATTATGAAACTTCAATTTTATTATGCTACAATGAATGACAATAAAACGTATTACTTGTATGGTAAAATAAATAAGGCAGTGTATGCTCTTTTGCTTTGTTTTCTATATCTTCTACACATCTGCTCCATATGTTTTGAAACTACTGTTTGTCAAAGATCATATTGAATGAACAAGTTCAACAGAAGTCTTGTTGAATATGTTGTGCAATATATTCTCTGCAAATAGCAGTATTATAATCTTTATTATTTGAATACTTTAGCAAAGTAATTATAGTAGTTAGTTCAAACGGCAGTGGTTTCGAGAACCTCTCGATTAATACAATGTACATATAATTACATAGTTTTTTGCAATGTCCATGGTGATACAGAGATGATAGCACATCAGAAAATAGCACCAGAAATTATTCTTGGAGTAATTACATGTTCCGGA